AAATGGATGGTTACTCGGTTCCATTGTGCTATCTGCTCTTGCTTTGACTGCTTGGACTTCAGTGTGATTTTGCAATCTGGATTTCTGTGCTTCGTTCACATTCATGTTCCTTGCAATTTGATATTATCAAAAAGCATATTCATATCTCTTCACACGGCTTGACGATGGAAATGTCCAGCAAAGTGTGCTGTTGAGATATGTCCATCTCCCTTTCTTTTTGTGTCCTTCAATCGTTTTCATTTCCCCCCCCTTGCCATGAATCTGTTTGTCTAATCTTGAGGCTTTCCTTTACTTCATATTCATGAGTTGTCCCACGTAGACGGACAAAATCCGTGATAGTTTTGAGGAAACTGGGCTCTGCCGTCCTGCGTCATCCATCCAGCTGCAACTGTTTGGGTGTAGCATGCAGGCAATTTGCAATCGTTCTCAGAGAAATAGAGATGGAGGAAAGAGGGGTCCGACTCATATTCTTCTCTCTTGGTAGCTGGTCGACTGCCAATATGCTCTTGTGCATCCCTCTCTCTCTGTCTCTCTCTGTCTCTCTCTGTCTCTCTCTGTCTCTGGGCGTCGTTCGACACTCCTCGGAGCGTCCTCGAGCTCCGAGGACGAATCCTCGGAGTTTTTTTTAATTTTTGGAGGCGTCGTTCCACCTGTCCTCGGAGAGTAGCCCCGAGGATGCATCCTCGGGGCCGTCCCGCGGCGAGTTTCATGAGATTATAGACGGCCGCGAGGGTGTTGTCCGACCTCCGATTCGGGATGTCTGTGTGCGAGGCGCGCTGGTCCACCAGCCGGACGGCGGCAATACATCACGGGCCGTGGAAAATAAAATTGCGAACGCGGGAAGGGCCCCGTTCGAAATTCGAAATTCGAATTTTCTCCGCGCGGAACGACGGTGTGGCGGCGCACAGGCGGAAGAGCACGTCGACTGGGGGACGAGTGCGCAGGCTTGACGTCGAGTTTCGTACATCAGCGGCACCGCGCCGCCACCGTGTGTAGTGTTCGTCGCAGGCAAAACGAAGCGGTGTGTCAGCAGTTGCGCTCGCCACGTGCATGCGAGCAGCGCTTCCGTGGTTCAGGGGCAGAGGACGAACGCTCCCATCGCGGTGTAAGTTTTGTCATCACGCCTGTCTTCCACACCTCGTTGTAGGCATCTTCGATCGTCGTCTTGGACGTTGATTCACGCAGGTGGGTGGGGGTGGACGTTGCTCTTCCTCGTGGACGTGCGCGAATGGAGGGATGCGATGGGGGTGGCCGTGCTGTGCTGTCGCCCATGGAGAGGACAGTTGTCGTGGCGGCTGCCGTTGCCGTAGTCCGTCGATACGAAGCGGAGAGGGCGGCGGGCCGCATGAAGGCAGCGCTTTCCAGGCGGAGACACAGGCTTCTGCTGCAAAGGGTGTTGGACGCCCCGGACTGCATCACGACTTCGGAGGCCGTGGTTCAGTTGTGCGTTGCAATCGGCTCCGGTGTGCTTCCCAGGGCGACGCCACATTGGTGGATGAGGTGGAGAACTGGCGGGACTTGGGAGGATTTGCGGGTGTGCGATGACGCGACAGATGACTACTTCCGGGAAAAGCTCCGCATGTCGAGGAGAGTGTTCATGGAGATCACCGAAGCCTGTGCGCCTCATTTGCAACGACAGGTCACGTTTTACAGGGAGCCACTTCAGCCGGAGCAGATCGTCGCGTACGCGCTGTATAGGTGGGCAACAGGAGAGTCGTACGTCAACAACACATCATCGTTCGGCATGGGCAGAGCATCCGGAGTTTGAGCCGTGCGCGATGTGACAGCCGCGTTGTTGAGGGTCTACGGGGACAAGATATCGTGGCTGACGGGGGTGGGCAAACACGTGGTGCTACGGGCGTTTCAGGACAAGGGCTTTCCCAACTGCCATGGCGCAGTTGACGGCACACACATCTACGTGGACAAACCGGCTAACGCTCCGAGCGAGAACTACTTCGACCGCAAGCACCGTTTCTCCGTCATTGCGCAGGTGGTTGTGGACCTGGATCTGCGTGTGCTTGACGTCTTCGTTGGCTACCCGGGCAGCTGCCACGACATTCGGGTGATCCAACTGTCAAGTCTGTCAAGGCGCGCGGAAGAGGGAACGCTTTTTCGTGGGCCGCCTGTAACACTTACGGGAGGGGTGAGGACGAACGGATACATCTTGGGCGACAACGGGTATCCTCCTTCAGAATGGATAGTGGTGTCGTACGGAGGAATCAATCAGCACCCGGACGAGGAAAGGTTCGACAACAAACAGAAGGTCGCTAGAGGTGCTGCGGAGAGGGCGTTCGGGAGGTTGAAGGGGATGTGGAGGCTCTTCCTGCGGTCGCACAAGATGAACTTGGACACTCTACCGCAGCAGTTCACGGTCGTCTGCATTCTCCACAACATCCTGCTAGATGCTGGAATCGAGTTCGACGAGAACTTGTTGTGGGAGGTCGACGAGAACGGGGTGAGGCGGCGAGTGGACCTGGGGATTCATCATCCACTGCAGCCAGTGACGATGCTGACATCGATAGACGCCGCACACGTGCTCCGCAATGCCCTAGCGGAGCGAATGAAACACATCTGATCGTGCGTGTCGCGCCACTCTGCATCGCGTACACAAACAGAAGCCGTGTGCATCCGTCGTCGAGTCGCAGCGCTTGCGTCATTCACGAATGCGCGCAGTTAGCTCGCAGGGTTTGCAGTGGCGGACGGCTCGTTTGTAGGTGTTTGTTGTTGTAGTCGACGGTAGTGTGCTTCTCCAGGTCATGGGTGATCGGCACTGAAGCGGCTCAATTGTCGTCGGGGATCGGCAATGACGTCGCTGTTTTTATTTTCGTTGTTCATTGATGTCGTCCTTGCCGCGGCGGTGTTCCCATGCAAATCCGTGAACATCGTGGGTCGTCGCCGTCATCGTCACTTGGAGGCAACGGTATCTCGTGGGACGGCAGGTGGCTGTACAGTGCGGGGTCGTACGGCCGCCTGACTGCTTCCGCACTTCTGCAGCGCTGACGTGACGACCCCGCAGCCCCAACGGATAGTGTGGTCCTCGTCTGTACCCTCTCCATCTTCCTGGCCGTCTTCGACGTTTGCCATGTCTGTTTCCTCCCTGGAACGCGCACGAGGCAGCAAATATGGAAGACGACAACGTCAAGCAGCAGCACAACGGCGAGCAGCAGCAAAGGCAGCCTGCGGTACAGGTCTGCCATGAACGACAGGGCAGCAGAAACAAAAGACGCACTCGCGCTGTGGCAAGCGCGGCGAACGGAGACAAACGGTGTGAGAGGGAAGACGCCAACGAATGAAATTGATGCAATCTCGCAGCTGGCTGCAGGAGGGCGCTTACAAAATACGTATTTTTCGACCGTTGTGGAGCACGCGGGAACGGCATGACCACTGCAGGAGCCGGCCGAAGACGTCCGATGCTCGCCACTGCACCTCCGTCGGGACACCCGACGAACCGACAGGGCTGTCCCGCGACGATCACCGCCAACGGTAAAATGACGAGGCCGTTACTCGATGTTTTGGACGCCCACGCCTCGGGATGTCCATCTTCCGCCTTCCGGACCACCTCTGGACCACTTTCGACCTCCGTTGCCCCTTCGTGACGTGCTGCCGACACCCCGATAATCGCGGATCCTCGGGCTCCAAAGGACCTCGCGAGGTCCCTTGAACCCGAGGATGATTTGGCTGGGAAATCCTCGGAGCCCGAGGATTTGTCCTCGGAGTGTTTTCACATTTCTGTTCCGAAAATCGGCTCCGAGGACAGGTGGAACGATGACGAAATCCTCGAAATCTCGTCCCCGAGGAGTGTCGAACGACGCCCTCTGTCTGTCTGTCTGTCTGTCTGTCTGTCTCTCTGTCTCTCTCTCTCTCTCTCTCTCTCTCTCTCTCTCT